CGGAGGCCTGAAGATGATAGGGATCATTATGCTAACAAAAGACTGGATCTTGCTGGCCCTTTACTTGGTGGCTTATTCCGAATGGTCTGCAGTTTGTTGTAAATGTTTTGGTTCGACAAAATAAGGAGAAGTTCCTACTTATAATAAATGTTGATATTTATGCAGCTATTCAGGAAGCTAACAAGGGATGTGAGATCCTATGTTCAAAAGGTTACTATCTTAGCTCCTTTTTTGTGCTCTATCTATTTGCATATATGGAGCTTCTGTTAAATAAAGCAATCTACGTTTGTGCACGATCCAGTGTGTTGACGGTGGAAAGGATGTGAATTTGCAATTTGCCATTAAAGCAAAAACAATTACAAGTGGACTTAAGTATTCTCTTGCTACGGGGAACTGGGGACAAGCAAATGCTGCTGGTACCAGGGCAGGAGTTTCACAGGTGAGCTAATACTACTTGTATATACTTTAATTTCTTTTTCATCGTTTTCTCTTGTTTCATTATTGTATCCATATGCTTACACAGGTTTTGAATCGTTTGACATTTGCATCTACTCTTTCTCACTTGCGTAGATTGAACTCACCGATAGGGCGGGAGGGTAATTTTCTCTTGCTCTTAGAATTGACTTCATTTGTTCCTTTCAGTAGTTTCTTTGTTATCAGTGTCTTATACCTTGGTAACCAGGTAAATTGGCAAAACCTAGACAGCTTCATAATTCTCACTGGGGAATGATGTGTCCAGCAGAAACGCCCGAAGGACAAGTAACATAATACACGACACTCATTTATTGATTAAGTTTGCATGATCTTATGAATATTATAACATTTCTTCTGCTGCTGATATATTAGGCATGTGGACTGGTAAAGAACCTTGCTTTAATGGTGTATATAACAGTAGGATCAGCAGCAAATCCAATTTTGGAGTTTCTAGAAGAGTGGAGTACAGAAAATTTTGAGGTGTGCAATTCATGGAAGATGCTCATGGCTCTCAATGTTTTAAATTTTGTGACAAGTTCTGATACTCTTTAACTTTAGGAAATATCTCCTGCGGTTATTCCCCAATCTACCAAGATTTTTGTAAATGGTTGTTGGGTTGGCATTCATCGTAATCCAGATCTGTTGGTTAGGACACTGAGACAGCTGAGGAGACAGGTTATATTACCACATTAATTTCTTATCTTTCTGATTTACATACTCTCGATTGTTTGTTCCTGCAAGTTTTAGATATTTGAGTTATGAGAAATTTGACATTTGTTCTCTTTTAGGTTGATGTTAATACTGAAGTTGGAGTTGTCCGAAATATAAATCTGAAGGAACTGCGCCTGTATACAGATTATGGACGTTGTAGTAGGCCGTTATTCATAGTGGATAAAAAGAGATTGAGAATAAAGAAGAATGATATTATCGCACTGCAAATGAGGGTATATACTGTTTAGCAAGATTGTTACATTCTATAATTATTCAGTCCCATTGATCTTGCTTGTGCTGATTTCAGGAGTCATCTGAAGATTCTGGCTGGCATGATCTTGTGGCGAAAGGATTTATTGAGTATGTTGATACTGAGGAGGAAGAGACTACAATGATCGCAATGACCATAAATGTAAGAATTCATGAACTACACCTAGCTATACAATGTATTATTCCTAGTACTGACCAAAAATTTGTTGCTGCCCTTCTTCGTTGAAGCTTAATCATCCATATCTTGAGTTTAGGTTCTTCTAAATCAGGAAGTGATAGAGTTAGTGTTCTCAGACTCAGAATTTCTATAAAACAATTTTCATGTTTAATGTTTTAGGATCTTACAAATTCAAGGGTGAACCCAGATGAGGCTTATGCTGAGACCTACACACACTGTGAAATCCATCCATCTTTGATATTGGGAGTGTGCGCTTCAATCATACCATTTCCAGATCATAATCAGGTGAATCAATATGTTTTGTGAGTCCCTTCGGGTACATTTGATAAAAAAATAAGTTACTGTATTTATGGTATGTCTTCGATACATAATTATATGTTAAGTCGAGTCTGTACACCATCTTGATCTACATTCCTTCTCAAATAGTATCTGTTTTCCTCTATTAAACCCTTCCATTGGCTTCTGCTTTATTGTATTTAATTTTGACATGTTGCAGTCCCCTCGTAACACATATCAATCAGCTATGGGAAAGCAAGCAATGGGGATTTATGTCACCAATTACCAATTTCGGATGGTAGGCTAGGTTTTCTCTATGCTGCGAGCTTTCATTTGTTCAGTATTAAGTATTCGCGTTCATGACTATTTATGATTTAAATAACAGGATACATTGGCCTATGTACTGTATTATCCACAAAAGCCTCTTGTTACTACGCGAGCTATGGAGCATTTGCATTTCAGACAGCTTCCAGCTGGCATTGTAATTAATCACCAGCTTATTGCTTGTTTTCATTCTTAACTTTCTTGCTTTATAGTCAATAATCTTTTCCTGTTGGATTTGCAAAAGAATGCCATTGTTGCCATTACCTGTTATTCTGGCTATAACCAAGAAGATTCTGTCATCATGAATCAATCTTCAATTGACCGTGGCTTATTCCGCTCTCTATTTTTCCGTTCATATAGGTATGTAAGTTTCATTTCTACTTCATATGGTCTGCTGTTTCTTCCTCTGATCAAGCTCCTGTCTTTCTTTACCATCAATAGGGATGAAGAGAAAAAGATGGGAACGCTTGTTAAAGAGGATTTTGGGCGTCCTGATAGAGAACATACCATGGTTGGTTCTTTATTTTGGTCACTCTCTTCCTCCCCATCCCCACCATCCCTCGTTCTAAGGACATTATTTAGGACAAACGAATAAAAGAAATAAACAATAAATATAATTGGTATGTTTTTTATAAGAGTAAATCTATTTTCTACTTTTATAATATTGGATTATGTTTATTATTTCTTGCAGGGAATGCGACATGGAAATTACGATAAATTAGAAGATGATGGATTTGCACCTCCTGTTAGTATCGCGAACATACACGAATTTATCATTCTGCTTCACTAATATGTGCTTGGAATTTTAATCTCTGGTAAGTTCTTACTGATGCCAGGGAACAAGAGTTTCTGGTGATGATGTCATAATTGGAAAGACCACACCTATTTCTCAAGATGAGGCTCAAGGACAATCTGCAAGATACACGCGCAAAGACCATAGTACCAGTCTACGACATAGTGAAACTGGAATTGTGGATCAGGTGCTCTTGCTAGTTATTTGTGCGTCAATTTCCTATGTCCTCCATAATTAGGGGAACTCATCTCTAAAAGAGAATTTCGCATTTCTTGTTGGCCATTTCATTTGTTAACTGTCTTGTTGATAAGTTGTTTCCTTGCTTTCTATAGGTTCTTTTGACAACAAATGCAGATGGATTGAGATTTGTCAAAATAAGGATGAGATCTGTCAGAATTCCACAGATTGGAGACAAATTCAGCAGCCGGCATGGACAAAAAGGAACCATTGGAATGACTTATACACAAGAAGACATGCCATGGTCCGCTGAAGGCATCACCCCAGATATCATTGTGAATCCTCATGCTATCCCTTCTCGTATGACAATAGGTCAGCTAGTTGAGTGCATCATGGGGAAGGTTGCTGCTCACATTGGAAAGGAAGGAGATGCTACCCCTTTTACTGATGTTACTGTAAGTTCACAAAGTCTCTTCTGGAAAACAAAGATTCATATAATTGTAAAAGCAATTAAGACAATACAAGTCGTCAGATTTCTATAATAAATGAGACAAAAACTGTCTCTGAGTTGATACATTTCAAGATGAAAAAATGTACAAAGAGGTTCCTGAAATACTGGTTTATCAAATGCTATTAATGGTTAATACTAATTCACGAATATGAGATGTCAATCACTTGGAAGTTTTTTGATTATTTTGTGTAAATTGAATATGAATTAACCATTCAGTACTTTCAGGTGGATAGTATCAGCAGAACTCTACACAATTGTGGCTATCAGATGCGTGGTTTTGAGAGAATGTATAATGGTCATACAGGTCGTGTACTGCCTGCAATGATATTCTTGGGGCCAACTTACTACCAGAGACTGAAGCACATGGTGGATGATAAGATTCATTCTCGTGGCCGTGGTCCTGTGCAGATTCTCACTAGACAGCCTGCTGAAGGGAGATCTCGTGATGGAGGACTACGATTTGGGGAGATGGAACGTGACTGTATGATAGCTCATGGAGCTGCACACTTCCTTAAAGAGAGACTGTTTGATCAAAGTGATGCTTACAGAGTTCATGTATGCCAGCAATGTGGTTTAATGGCTATTGCAAATCTGAAAAAGATGTCATTCGAGTGCAGATCTTGTAGGAATAAAACTGACAATGTTCAGGTACAATCCTCCTCTTCCTGCACCACTTGTTAAACTGCAATATCCATATTGTTAAAGATCGTAAAACTTGAAACATTTTCTGAATGTGTAGGTGTATATTCCCTATGCCTGCAAGCTTCTGATTCAAGAGCTCATGTCAATGGCAATTGCCCCAAGAATGCTTACAAAGGAACTGAAACCATCAAATCGAAAGTAAGCATCCTGACAGTACAACTTGTTTCAGACTCCGGTTCTGCACTTGGTCATCACATATCTACTTAACTAAATATTTTCCCACCATGGCATTAGCGAACTGTTGGAAAGAGTTTGGAGTCTGATAAGCAGTTGCACAAGTCTCTTTCGAATGGTAAACAAACATTAGTTAACCTGGATAATCTAACTTTATTTTATCAGACATTATCCAGAGCTAATAAACTTAGGTGCTGTTTTGACATGTTTTACTATTTTTCAAAATATTTTTTGATTATACATTGACCTGATTTTAAACAGCACCAAGTGAACTCATATTAACTTTACTTTTTAGAGACTATTCGTTTGGTTATCTCCAGATTAGCACGTTTTTTCAAATTGTCTGATGAAGAGTTGTTATCTTAAAGGTCATAATTAAAATTAAGACAGAAAAAAAGAGAAGTATCCACTCATACGAAACTCAATGCATTACTAAAACAGTAAACAGAAGGATAACCATAAGATTAACAGCAAAATAAGACTAGAACATGAACATTAACAACTTGATCAACAGCTTGCTCAATATGAAATAGAATCCAGCTTATCCAGTGTCTTCTCAATATCTTCTTTAAGACTACGAATTGCTACCTTAAGCTCCTCCACATTTTCCAACAATTCATCTCTTAACAACTGAGAAAAACTGCATTCAGCATTGCAGTGCTGCAAAATTAACAGAATATTAGTATAACAAGCCTACATCCTCAAGTACAATTAACAATCCTATCAAAAAACTGCTACCAAATAAAACACACAAAAAAGCAAATGTACCTTAGGACAAGCAAAGTAAACTTGATCCTCAGTTTCTCGTGGAACTGTTACTTGGGGCACATCCAGTAATTCGTTGGGGTTGGATGGAGAAACTGTTCCTGTTTCATTGGAGTCTGCTAATCCAATTCTTTCAGCAGATGCAGCATTTGGCTTTAGAAGTTCATTTGATGATTGAGGGGACAGACCATTGTTTTCTTCTTCAACTGCATCAGTAGATTGACCATGGATCATGCCACTGTTTTCTTCTTCCTTAATACTCTCCTTGGACATCACGTTCACAGAGACTAATGGTGCAGTGTCTATCATCATCTCAGGTACAACAACAGATTCACTCAACTCTACACTATCAACAACGCACCTAGAATTCTGAGACGCAAACGTTACATCTTTCGAAATTTCTTTATCTTGATCATTTATATCAACATTCAACAAAGACTCTTCATTTCCTTCATCAACATTCTCCATCACAGAATCATCAGTATCAACTTCATTTGCTTCCAATACTTGGACATCAGTCGCCACACCAGGTACATCCCTAAAAAAGAATCCTCGTCTTTTACGATATTCCAATATTGTAATTATCATTATGAAAAAATAGATGATGATACCTTTCAATAATTTCATCAGCCATCACATCATCAGAAAACAGCTCAAACTTGTGTTCAACTGCATTAGTCAATTGTTCAGTTTCCACTCCAGAAGATTCATGTTCTTGTGAAATTCCACTAGATTCAACGTTCTCCATTATGAAACAAGTATTCGTAGACAAAACAGGTACATCATTTGACACTAAAATATCCTCATTAGATGTAACATCCAACAAGGTCACATTATCAAAAACTTCATCAATTGTGTTCTTGACTTCATTCAACTCAACCAATTCCATAGAAACTGTTATTAACAAAACATGAAAAAAATAAACAGTAATTAAAAAAAAAAATATGTTGGAAGACTCTATTTAAGTTGGTAAAATTAGAACAGATAAGAAAATGTACCATCAGTTTCTTTTGCCTGTGCCTTAAATTCATTAGGAACTTCTACTATTATATTCTTGCCTTTGTCAATTTTCTTGTCAACAGAAGTTGATTCATGCCAAACAGCTCCTTTAGCCAATTCTTCAACTGGTATAGTCATTTTGACAACAGAAACTGTAGTAAACTCTGCATGGAAAAAATAATAATAATAACTTCAAGTAGAATTTGTTGCAAGAGTTACTCAAAATCTTTATTGTTTATTTACTTCACGTCAAGTTAAGATTCATAATCATGTTCATATAATAGGGACGGTATTAACTATTTTCATATCGTAAAAACATAGTGGAGAATCGTAGTGCATATTCAAAAATTTACTAATGTTATGAATGAATTATTGGGGAAGTTACACTCCATGAATGTATAAATACACTATTATAAAAGTTAATACATTTATATATAGTATAACATTATATTTTAGTCTACATGACCTAATATTTTATGTTTGGATCATTTATATTAAAGATGAGATAATTAAATTTTTGAAAAGAACAAAATTACCTTCATTTTGTTTTGCTTCCTTCTTCCTCTTGGCAGCTCTCCTCTTTTTTGAACCAGATGGCATTTTTGTTTCTAATTTTTCTCACAATTTAATTTAGATTATTAATAATATATGATGAAGAATTAGAAAGGGTTTTGTGTATATATAGGTAATTATAATAAGTCTCTTAAAATTCTGTGACTGTTTTAGTTGAACTAATTAAATAAGGACGAGTTAATGGACGGTTGATTGCACTTCTCATTAATCTTAATTTATGTGTAACTTTCCCTATTCCCTAAAATTGTTGGGAACATAGAAAAAGAAATTGGTGATGCAAATGAATTGAATATACAAAAAAATATATTTTTTTTAAAATGTGGAATCATAATTTATTCCTTTTTGTTCAACCTAAGAGGACTTTGTTGTGGCTATTTTTTTTGGTGTGTATTAAAAAATATAATGACACTAAGCAAGTCTTATATGACGAACTTAACTAAAAAGACGTTAACACGAGAAATTGATGTCTGAACTTCTTAATATGATATCACATACACCAACTAAATCAACCTTATCGTTATTTTGATTTTTTTTGCTTTACATTTCTAGGCTTAAGTGAACATTTTTCTTTAAAATTCTATTACAAAATAAAGGTATATTCTTATACTTCTTTTGTTTTAAAAAAAAGATTTTTTTTTTTAGTTTGCTTAAAAAAGAATGATTTTTTTTTGTTTTTGGTAATAATTTTCTACATGACATATTTAAGGCTAAAAGATTAAGAGACAATTTTATACATTTAATATAATTTTAATTTAGAAGCACATAATTAAAAGTCTTTTTTATTCTTTTAAACTCCGTATCAAGTTAAACTAAATATTTTTTTTTTAAATGGAGGGATTAGTACTTTGTCATCATAATATCTTTTTGAGTGTTTTCCTCTATATGTGTGTTACAATGAGGACTTTTACATTTTTGGCATTTGAATCGGTGTCTTTTATTTTTTGCATTTATTTTCCAAGTAATATTTAATTGCAATTATAATAATTAAGTGTTAAGAACATAATATGGTCCTTCTGTATATTGTGAACTCAAAGCACAAACAATTTTCTTTCTTTTATATAGTGAGATACCATTTGTCTTGCAATGAATATTTTGTAAATTTTATTTTATGAAATATAATCTAGTTAGTATGGCTGTCTCCTAACATAATTTTAATCTTACAAAAATATCATAGCTGAAAGCTGTCAAAATGAATGACCAACTTGCAATTTTTGTACACAAACATTTAAAACTAACTACTGCTATATAAAAAGATTTTATTTTATACGTAAAAATATTTACTTTGATATAATTTTTAAATATCTCTTATATATTTTTATAGTTTTATCTTTTAATGTTCTTTTTTCATGTTTGGAAGTTAGAATTCTTAATTAGTTATCGTCCATGTTGGTAATTATAATAAAGTTTAAGTAAAAATTAAATTAATACTAATATAAAAAGAAAATCAATTATAACACTAAGAATGACAATAATATTGAATATTTATTTTTTAGTTTTACATTGATTTAGACAATTAAAATACATGATCTAATTTACTTTTTTTTAATATTTAGTCATGTAACTAATACTTACTAAACTCATTTTAGCGTGATATAATACTTTAAGCTATGATCAATTTCATTATAACTTATTAATTTATAATATTTTATTACCAGAATTTTATTTTATTTTGCAATATTTGTTTTGTGTATTATTATTTTTTATTGAATATTTTAGTGTTATTAATCATATAAATATTTTTTTGTTATTTTCTTGAGAAATAATCTAGATAGCTGCATTTTAGGACTAAAGAAATATTTAAAATACAAGTAATAATATGTTTGTATGAATACTTTATTGAGAAAACCCGAGTTTTATTGATTTGGTTAATTTATAAATTCAAAGTGTAACACAAATAATTTTGTTTGATATTTGAAAAACTCGAACTAACCCAATCATGTACGCTCCTAACGCTACTTCTACTAGACTTATTAAATTCTCTACTTGTAATAAATTAGCGTATTTTGATAACCCTGTTGTATTAACGTTCCGTCTAGTTCTTCCGTTACCTTTTTAATTTTAACATATACATAAAATCCATGAGACTTGAACAGGCTCAATAATAATAATTAAACCAAAAGCGAATTCAATTCACTTTTAGTATTTTAATTTCATTTTTGTACAATTTAATTTATTCTAATACTATAGTAGAAAAAGAAAAGAAATTTTTAACCTTCCATTTGGCCAGATGGCTTCTCTGTTAATTGCCAAGTGTCTGCCTTCACCTCCCTAACCGCCTAAACTTCCACCGGCGATATTACTCCTCCTTGTATACCCCTTTTTCCGGCAAATCTCTTTCAAAATTTACGCAAAAATGGGCAAGGAATCAACGTTTCTCACAGCAGTACACTTGAAGAAGAAACCTATGAAGAAACACACTACCACCAAACGGAAGCAATTTTTCAACAAAGTTATCGATTATCTCAAATCTGATACTTTCATGTTTGCGCCTTTATGTTCTTCCAGTTTCTCCTCCGGTAAGTTATTCTCTTCTTCCTTTGATTAATTGATTTGATTTAATGGATTTTTGTTTCGGTTTTTTCAGGAATTGAGGAAGATAGTAAACCCTTGGAAGGGAAGGATGAGAAATTGGTTAGTAAAATTGGGGATTATTTGATGGCTGATGACTATATGTATGCTCCTTTGCTTATTTCTCAGCCCTGGGATATGGTTCATGTATCTAAAGGTATAATTTAAGCTTTAGTTTACAAATATATGATCTATTGTATTGCATTTGGGGGTGTTAACAAAGGGGAAAGGGAATAGTGTGATTTGGCTGCGGCAGGGGTTCAATTTCGTGCTCATGCCCTGTCAATTCCAGTAACCGTCCTACAACATATAAGCTACTATATACACGAATTGTATGTAAGATAATATATAAACTTAGCGTACCTACTTATATAGGTAAGACTTTTATGAATGGCATGTTCGTGCGTTGAGCTAGTATGTAAGATTGATAATATAAGAAAGTACCAACTCGTGAGTCCAATACTATGGATGGTCAGGCAAACCTAAGCTCACTTCAAGTGTATAATGAACTTGTGTTACTTGAAATGGAATTTTGGTGTAGAAGGAATGTGAGCTATATATGCTTTCCATATGCAAGTGGAATGTTGTTTTGGGGGAGCTAGGTAGAAGGAAAAGAGGCTCATACCTAAAGGTAGTTTGTCTTGAATAGGAGGTGAGAAGAGTTGAGAACAAAGTGGTGAAAGACCAATGGTTTTCTTTTGTTAAGATTGGAGATAAATAGGACTCAAGCTGATGGCTTTTTTCCCGACTCTGCTAGGCAGGGGTCAGTTTTTAGGGAAGCATGAAGAGTACAAGCAAGGGAGGCCTAGGATTCACTTTATTAATGCTAATGAGGTAACGGAAACAAAATAAGATTTAAGATTTTTGAAAGATAAAAAGTACATGTCATTTTTAAATATGGATGTATATTTTATCAGGTTTATAAATATATGTTTTGACAAGTTGCAAGTTGAGATGATTGGTATGAAATACAATGCTTGCTGCGAGCAGCACACACACTATATGTATTTTTTTGTTTTGTGTTTGTCTATGTGGGGTTATTTTGTCCCACCTAAATCGAATTGCAGCTCTTCGTTCTCAATCCATGGCTATTCTTTTTTCCTTTTTCCTGTACTCTAGGATCAGTTCCTATTCAAGAAGAGGTGGAGAAAAAGAGATCTGCTGATGTGCTAAAAGGAGCTACTGGAAAAGCGGATGAAGCTGGTAGGAAAACAGTTACTGTGGTTAGCAAAGATCACCGCATAGATGATTTTCCTCATAACAAGAGCCCTATGGTCACCCGTACTCGGGTGCGTAGAGAGACTGTGAAGCACATGATCTATCAAAACTGCTGACTTTTATTTGCGCCTTACGTCCTCAGGTCTGTAATTTCTCTCATCCAACTTCCAATGCATTATTTGTATTGTAATTAATGCACCCATAAGAACCCGACAACCCCCCAGTGTGGAGCCACTGTTATTTCATCTGTCATGTACTCTATGCTTTGGTTAGAGACTTGGATCAATATCTTTCCCTTGTGCTGATCATCTGGATGAGAATGATGGTAGCCCGTTACAGAAACTCTCGGCAGTTAGCAAGTTTTGTTGTCTAATCTGCAATTCTACTTTTGAGAGTTGAGCATGTCATGTCTTAAAGGACTATGCATCCATTTAGCTACGTACAACTTATGCGCATAATGCTAACGCCAACATATATCACTTCTCCTATATATTTGTGTGTGATTCCATTTCTTTTTCAGGCTGACGACGATAGAAATATAACCAAGCAAGCTTGTGAGATGAAGATTTTCTGGTCTGATAGTGAGCGGTGCTGCTGCTTAGCTAATCAGACTCGAGATTGTTTGTTTTTCTAGGTAGTTAGTTGAGTGTTACGTTTGTAATATGATAAGTAGGTACTATGCTTGTTTTATTTGTCATTTAAATTTGGACAGTTGATGACTATTGTATACAGTATAACACTGTAATAGGTTAACGAGGTACATATTTTTATGTGTCATTTAGGTTATGGTAGTTTAATGTGTCACTCAGGTTAATGTATACAATTTCTTGCATCTAATCAATCTTGTACCAAAATCCATTTTGTAGCTTTAACCGCTCAATTGAACAGCAACGTTCCTCTTTCGGATACAACTAGCGTTGAAAAGGTTGCCAGCAATATATCGATAACATTTGAGTTCAAATAGAGTCGATCACACAACATTAACATCTATGAAAAATTGATAACGATATCATCCTTGATTCTCATTAGTGACACTCAATATCTAAATTATTACCAAACACGTTTCAACTATCAATGTTCATTTTCTTATAAAAATTTCACCAAACATTTAGAGTAATAGTTCGAATAAAAAAGTCATCTATTTTAACTTATTTCAAATAATAGAACTCATTTTTTTTTCATAAAATAATTAGACTATAGTTGACCCCCTTATACAGTGAACCAAACATTTCTCTTCTCTTCTTCGCAAAGTTGATAGAAAGGGGTGAACGAAATGCTCGTCAGATTCAGAGGCAAATGTGAAGCTTTATCAAGATTTCACTGTTTCAGTTCTGAATATCTCTACTCAACCTCAACTCGGAACAATTTCTTCGTGAAATACCTGATCAATTCACTCGGATTCTCCAAAGAAGAAGCATTATTAGCATCTACGAAGGTAAATTCATGGAAATTTTCAAAGAAAAATCCAGATTTAGTACTCAATTTCTTGAAACAAACTGGTTTAGACAACACCCAAATGAAAATACTGGTTTCAACATCACCCAAGTTTCTATTTTACGATGTTTCCAAAACCCTAAAACCTAAATTTCAATGCTTGATGGATATCGGGTTATCCGGGTCGGATCTTGTGAATGTGATTGCTAAAGATTCAACGATTGTTGAAAGGGGTTTAGTTACTCATTTGAAACCTACTATTAATTGTCTTAGAAGAACATTGGGTAGTGATGAAAATGTTGTTAAAGCTATAAAAAGAACATCTTGGTTGCTTTCGTTTGGTGGGCGGAATGTGATGGGAACTAATTTGTTGTTGTTGAAAAACTATGGTGTTTCTGATGATTCAATACAAAAACTTGTGCTTAGAAATCCGAGGTATATTACACAGAAGCCTGAGTGGGTTAAGGATTTGTTGCATAGGCTAGAGAAGGATTTTCGACTTTCGCTTGATTCGTCTATGTTTCCTTATGGATTTCATACGTTAGCCTCGCAAAAGAAGGCGAGGTGTGAAAAAAAGCTTGAGATTTTTAAGAGTTTTGGATGGTCGGATGATGATATACTCACCATGTTTAGGAAGTTGCCTTATTGTATTGCTCTGTCTGAGGTTAAAATTCAGAAAGGATTGAGTCTTTTTATGAAGGAGCTTGGTTTTGAATCTGCTTACTTAGCTTCTCATCCGTCAATTTTGATATATAGTATGGAAAAAAGGGTCGTACCTCGGATGCAAGTCTTGAAAATTTTGGACGAAAAGAAGCTTGAGAGGAGAAAGGTGGCTCTTTATACTGTTGTGAGCTTAAAAGAGAAAAAGTTCATAGAAACTTTTGTGCTGCCCTACAAGGATCAGGTACCTGATCTGTATGAACCACTCCAGAAAACTCTGGCTCCTTAACAGATTTAGTTTACGTTTTGATACTATAGGTGCTGAGATCTTTCTAAGTTTTAAATTGTTGTCCGAAATTCATTTTTGTCCTGCTAAAGCAATAACATCATTGAAGAATTGTTTTCATTTCAAACTTGTTTTGCTTTCTAGTGGACCTTACTTACTTGTGTTTTCTGGTGTTTCCAAGAATCATTTATATCTTTATGTCTTCTTGCTTTCAGTTCGCATTTGGATAACTCAATAGCATACCTAGTTCATTAGCTCTGAAAAATGAGAAACCACGAAACGGGAGGTCACACATTCTCTACTAAGTAGAAAGCAAGTGAATTAATGGCTACAAGGATTACTAGATTACCATGATGATATATGTGCTGGTTTCCTTGAAACGAGCGTCTATTGTAAACAACCTCCCTACCATCACAAGGTAGGGGTAAGGTCTCCATACACACAAGAGGAGGAATACTTGAACTTGAACAGAACTATAATTTCTGTGATTCTAACCATACCCCATTTGGCAAAAAGTTCATATTAAACAGCTATTGTTGATGGTTGTAGTTATTTTACGTGTATGCTTGTTAAGATTGTTGATGAATTGTATGCGAAGTTGCTTGACTCACTGAAATTCAGCTGATTTGCTTTACTAAAGAGAAGGTGAGTGTAATGACTATAGGATTTGATGAATTCTCGTCATGCTTTTTTAGGGAAGGTTTAAGTGGGGTTTTTTGTGAGGGAAATTTATGCTTGTGTTTGGAGAGCATTTTGGGATTGCTTACTAGAGGAAGAACCAGTGATTTTGACTAAAGCTTTATATCGTGTTTCTTTGTTTATAGAGGAAGAGCCATTGCTTACGTGTATGCTCGTCGTACTTTAAATGTGTTTCTTCATTTATTAGCTGATCATAATAGAGAAAAGAATGGAGGTTAAATTTTGAGGGAGTGACTCTCGTTGTTTTTAAAGAAAGGGAGGAGCTTAATCAGGCTTTTGCAAGATTTGGTTCATGTGTACCTGAGTTCAAAGCAATCTAGAGAGACTTGTTATTGAATCCGAAACAGTTTAGGGTGGATGGATTTGAAGATATTTTTCAAAGTTTTCGAAACTAAGACTCCAAGTTGGTATTCTTTGCTCTGAATAGCTACTGAGATGGAAACCCAATTGATGTTTTTTTCTTACACGTGTGAAGTTCGGTAACTAAATGAGGTGCCAAGTTTGGTTCTTAAAGAAGTTTCATGGAGTACCTGAAAGAGAAACAGTTTTGACTGACATTGTTAGGTTTATATGTTGTTTCTGTTCGTCCATCTGGTGAAATCAGATATCTTATCAAGATGGGTTGTGATTGTTTGGCTACTAACGCCCTGCAAGAAGAGTTATATCGAAGCAAACCTAAACCTTGTGTTGCTTTACGATTGGCTTTTCTTTGATGAACATTGAATCTCCAGTTCTATTGCTGGTAGATTCCATATCATCAGTGACATATCCGGGGCATAGAGGTTTGTTAGTGCATCTGTTTCGTATTGTTGGGTGAAGATGTTTCTGGATTCACCGCGATTATGCAAGATTAGTAAATAGAAGAAAAGTGCTTCAATAAAGATTTGAACTTTATTCCTATGCAACCTTATTAGGTTTAGATAGGTGCCTTAGTTCCTGTACTCTTGAATTTAGGGAAATGAGTGAAAAGTGAAAACAGTAACTCTTGAATAGTATAAATAAAGTAACTTTGCTGCAGATTTAATGATACGATACAATGAAATTTAAGTAACTGTAATCTGTGACGATGGCTTGATTAAATGTCGATAGTGCCAGTGTATGCATCTGATGAAAGTGGTACTAATACCAGTACGACAGAAGGGGCATATGTTTTTCTTTGCTAGTAATAACCATGACACAATACAAGTAGCATGAAACCTATGATGGCAAGTAGGAAGAGTCGTCGTGTCATCATCATCAGCGTTGGCTTGTTCTCCTAAACAGATACAACACTCACTGTTTGTTCCTGGTGGAGTCACTGCTTTTGTTGCCCAGTAACGAGCTTCTGCATAAAACTGAGCTCTCTCTGCTGATATTTCACAAGCTCTTTCTTCGCGAGCTCTGTCCCCAGGAGCTCTCGATGCTGCTACATAACGAGCTGATGTTTCTTGAAGAAACACGCGTATGATCTTTATGAACAGATATAGCTAGAAGAATGGCTAAAACAATCGCGATTATTACTATGTTTGACATGAGTTTGGAACTAGCAAAGAGTTTTGAAGACAAGAGGCAAGGGTTTATAGTTTGGTTTTAACTTGTTGATTTCAAAATTTATGTACAAGTCATGAATATTATATATATTTTAGGTTAAAATATAAATTTAGTAGTAATTTTCAGAATATGGGAATTTTTTCTTCTTCTTCTTTTCCATGTTACGTAATTAATTATGGTAAGTAAACATTTTTTTTAAATTCAAAAAAAGGTAAACTTTCAAGTATTCTTCCAACAAATTCTTCAATCTCATGTTGCAAATTGAAGGAACACAAAATTTTAATGGGCTTTTACGGTGCGATATGTTATAGGGATTTTGACCCCAAGTAACTTCGAACAGTAAATTTGTATGAAATAACAAATTATTAATTTAAATTCAATGTTATAATTATAATTCATTCTAATTGTAATTTGCAGTATATATCTTTTTGTTTTGCCATCTGATTTGGTATACAATTCGTCATTTTCGATAGTCATTTTTATATATTTTGGTATGAATTGTATAAAATGTGTTTGAGTTTATATTAAAATAGAGAAGTGTATCTATAAATATAAATATATATATTTTCGTCTTATACACTTATAATTATATTAATATTAATTGTTTATACAATTTTACAGTGTATAAATGAATTTATACAAAACTGCACAACTTGTATAAAATCGAATGTCTATAGCGAATTATACAAATCAAAAGCTCCATGACAAACATAAAATTTGTTGTGGAACACAATTATGTAAACTATAACTATAACATACAAATATGACTATTTTATGTTTGTTATATATAAAAGTTGCTCCTTCAACCCATTTTAATCCGTCTAAATTCAGCCAATTGAATTCTCCAATTTGTCGCCTCTGGACTCAAGCTAATGAAAGGGATTGTACACCATTCAAGTTTGCTTTCATGATACCACATTAGTAGTTTTGTGAGATATTAGGTAATAGCTAAGTTGTTTGTACCATCGGTCGATTCGATTCAATTTTATGTATCATCGTTTTGATATATGGGTTTTCGGTTTTTAAATAAGCTAACTCGATAATATTATACTGAAATGTATATGCATGTTTTGAGTTTTAGAAATGAATGTGATCTCTAGCTATGAAAAAAACTTTCTTCTTAATAATCCTTATGTAACACGAATTTGAATTAGTCAGGTCATGAATTGTGATTACATTAACTCCAAAAATGTGTAGTCAAAATAGAAAATAGTTTTTATATAACATGAATCTAGATTAGTTGAATCACGAATCTCGATCTAATTAATTGACGTGATCAATGTCATGGTCAATCTAAAAGCCAGATGAATGTTGAAGATTCTTAACTTCGTACATGGCAAGGAAAATAATGCACGTATACTCATATCCCCAAAATCATTACATTTTCTCTGTCCGGTATTGTTTGTCATTGTTTTTATTTTTAGAGTCAAACTATTAAATTTTGACTAACATTTTAAGATTTATTTTTTCATCATATTAATATGCAAAAAAAATTGCAATTTATAGTACTTTTCATATAGTTTTAGAATATCTAATTTTTTGTTTAAAATATCGAATTAATTTAATCTAATTTAACTTCAAAAATTAGTTAAATTAACTTTCGAAAAATATAACACGACAAACAATTTTCTACTATCAAACATAGTGTAGAAAATTTTCAACTCCTTGTCATAAACTTTGAATAAAATTGAGTGGTTTTCAACTCCTTATCATAAACTTTGAATAAAATTTTGAGAATAAGCTCGGGAGATGCTCAATATTCAACAATGTCCTACATTTTTATAAGGAAAATTTTGAAATGTATAAATTTATGATTTTAATTTTTTAAAGTTATATATGGATTTTAATTAAATTAATAATTTAACTAAATATATTAAATAGATTTCAAGAGACAAATATAAAATATGGACCAACGATAACATAAATCAAAGAACAAATAACCACAAGAACAAACTACAACTACTATAATAACTTTATTATTATATTCTAATATTTTTTAATTTAATACTCCCTTTGTTTTTAATTGCTTGTCCAGTTTTGAATTGACACACCTATAAAGAAAACAATAATTAACATAGTAAATTTATCATTTTATCCATATTAATTATGAATTAAATCAAAAGCTCCATAGCAAAACATCCTATATGTTTTATTAAAATATAAAATTAATTTTAATCAATATTTCAGTATTTTGCTATCGAGTTGAGATATATATAAATACAATAATCACTACTTCCTAATTTCAAATAAATTAACGTTAGCTATAAGCGTAAATTTTTACTGTATATATAAACAAATTAAAATTATATCAAGATGCTAACAATTAAAATTAAATAATATTATACATTACGAAAATAGTTAATTTTAGCTACATACTATTTAACAATAGATTGAGATGGATTTTATGGATAATGATTTTTTTATAGCGTATTATGCACTTTGAAGTCAGTGAAAATTATGAAAATAATATAATACACAAACTTATCGTTTGGATATGTTTGTTTATCATTCAAATTCAACTATAAATTTTCATGTTATATTTCTGCACTTTAATATTTCAAATAACACATTTTAATCAACTTATATTATAAATAATGTGTGCAATCTATACTAGGTTCGTTACATAAAAAGATGTATATAAATTTTTTATATATTTTTTTTGTCATTGGATTACTAAAAACTAGAGAAGATCCTAAAGAATATATTTCTAAAAAACTATTCTAATTTATTTATGACTTGTCAAAAACAAATAAATATTGAATATATATATGTATATTAGATACTATTAAAGCAAAAGATAATAGAATAAAATGTTTTAAGGTACTTGTATTGAGATATTTGTATATTTTGTTAGTTATATACAAAATAGCATCAAGTGCTTAAGTCACAATTATATATAGATATTTTGTATATTTTGTTAGTTATATAAAAAATTGCTTGAAGTATATGTATATTATCTGCTCCAATCACAATTGTGTATAGATATTTATATATATTGTTAGTTATATACAATAGCATGAATTAAACAATCTACAACCCTTACACTATTATATATACGGTTAGATTACACCAAAAAAATTATAAAATTAAAGCACGCCTTTTTAATCAAATCATATACAATTGACATAGTAATTACTTACATATATACAATAGTATCAATTAAACAATATACAAATCGTATGACTTATATATACAATAAAACTACAAAAATAAATATCAAATTAAGGCACACCCTTGTTGTCGAATCATATACACTTCACAAATACAAATCGTGTCATTCAATTTTTCAAACTAAAAATTAGAATAGAGTTGTTAATATGCGATTTCTCTAATCTTGTTACTTGTATAAATAAAAACAAATTATTGTGAACCAATAGAATGAACAAAATAAAAATAATTTGTTTTCCAAATTTTCAATTATATACTATACAAATCAATTGTATATCTTCTTGTCCTTCAAAACATGAAGAACATTGAGAAAAACAGTTGTTCTGGTGTTATAAATATTGTATATATTATAAAAAAGAGAAGTTATATGCAAAACTAATACTTCATAGCAAACTAAACTATATTCATGAAATGTAATTATATAAACTATACCTATAGTGTGCTATTTCGTATAATCTATTTGTCGTATGTGAAATTTTTCCTTTAAGATCAGACTCGAGAAATAGTCTAATTCAAGAGATCCTACACCTTATATATGTAGCTTCTCAAATTTGGAAAATCAATCTTACACCCAACAATCTTTTCCTCATACTAAGTTTCATAGCCCAATATCACCATGATCCACGAGTCAATTCATGAGATTCACTAAATATGTCACCCACATCATCTGAGTATTTTATGACAATCAAGCCCAACAACTTGCTCTTTTTATGTGCATCTCTATTAATTTCGTAACTGGATTAACATGTCAATTTTTTTTTAAAAAAATAGGTGATATTGTCATTTTTTTCGTGTGTGTTAGCTCATAAATATTTTTATAATATGATTTTTCGGCGATTTCTTTAAGAAATTTTTATGGAACCCTTCTTAGGGAGTTAGGAGAGCAACACATACAATCTGATAATTTTTAGAGTCCATTTTGGACATTCAGGGGCCATTTCGTAGGAAATAGGTGAGCTTCTAAGTTTGTTTGTATTTGTCCATGAATATTTTGGTGATATAACTTTCAGATTGTTTCTTTGTGGAATCTTTACGGAACCCTGGGAATTAAGGGAGCAATACATATAATTTAATAATTTTAGAGTTCATTTTGGGCCAATTTAAAGAAACCAGACAATTTATCTAGTTTTCATGTGTATTAGCCAATGAATATTTTAGTTATATGACTTATAAACAATTTCTAATCGAAACCCTTACGAAACCCTCAATAGGAGTTAGGGAAGCTGTACGTACATTCTGACAACTTATCAAGTCAATTTTGGACATTTAAGGACCAATTTACATAAATGAAAGGATTTTCTCAGTTTTTCATGTGGTAGCCCATAAATATTTTGTTGGCTTCTAATCTTCATTCTTATCTCAATCCTTTGTTACTTCAATATATTTAGATTCCTACTTTGATCTTAATATTTCTCTCTTTTGATTTGGAAAATTCTACTAAGTTGCTTTCATTGAAATTAAAATCATCACTCTTTTGCATGTAATTAAGCAATGAATAAATATGTAATATTCAGGTTACAACTCTAGTTCCCTTGCAAGATTTATTAAAACCAAAAAAAAAGTTATATTTTCTTGCACTCTACATGTTTGATTAAACTACTAGCTTACAAAAGTTATAGCACTTGAACTCCTTTATTTGAACTTTTTTAAAAAAAAAGATATTTCTAAAGAGATTATAGGGTCTAATACTGTATGATCACAAATTTTTTCTACTTTTTTTAACTTTGGTATCTGCTTTTGTCTATATGATGATAAGGTTAGTGGAAATGTGATGGAAATAGTTATGTTGATCAGTGAATAATATCAACAAACTTATGGTGTGAAGAATCTGTTAAAAGTTAGTTAGAAGCAAGTTTAGTGTGAGTTAGTTAGTTAGTTACAAATAAATCATTAGATTAGTATTTGTATAAATAGAGTTAGAATGTAGTCCAGATTCAATGTAACAAAAATACTCTTCTCTTTGAATATACTTCTTCTTCCTCTTCTCTGCAAAATCTCTATAATTCAAACTCCTTCTATTAGAGTTATCATGGTATCAGAGCCATTGATCGTAGCTAGCTTCTGCTAAAATCAACTTCAGATGTTTAGATTCACCAACAGATTCAGGTGATTTCGAAGAAGAACAACATTCAAAGTATGGCAGTTAATAGCTCTAGCGAAAGAGAAATAACTAGTAATGGTGGAGCTGGTAGTGGTACTACAAGCACAGCTTCATTTCCAGCAATTGATCATAATCATCCACTCTATCTTCAACACACTGATACTGCAGGTAGTTCTTTAATTTCCCTACAGCTCA